TACTTTCATGAAGTTTGGTCCTGCTTTAATTTCCTTCCCATCACACCTTACAAAGCATCCCTTGGTCTTCCGAGAAGTCTTCATATTAGAAACGTTCTCTGTGATGGCATCTCAGAGCCTTTCAAATTGCCTTCAAATATTTAAACTTCCATTCTTATGCTATAATGATTCAAATATAATCTAGAGTCATGCTTTGTCTCCCCTCCACACACTTCTTTAAAACACAGATTCTGATGGGTTATACCAACAGTTTCTAATTCTTTCTAAATTATTTATCTTCAGATCATTTTCCCATGGGTGCTCCAAAGTGAAAGATTTTTGGTATGCATTTTTGTTTTGGTACTGAGGGTTGTGCATACCAGACAAAGTTCTACCATTGAGTAATGTCCCCCTCCCTCTCATAAATGTCTATTTTTTCATCAAATCCCCTGTCACTTATGTTTGGTTGAATCTACTTTCTTTCTGACAGCAGTAGAGATGTTCGCCTCTTTCAGCTCACTCTGAATACTGAGTTCCTGACACTGTCTCCCAATCCTTGTTTCATGTGAACACCACACACACACACACACACACATGCACGCTCACACATAGAAACAAACATGCACACCTGCAGCAACACAGTGCACTAAGAAAGACAACTATTATGTACTACAGAAAGCTCTAGGTCCAAAACCCAGCATCTCAGGTGTAAGAACTTACACAAAGTATATAACCTCTCTAAGCTTGATTGACTGATTGATTGATGAACTGATTGATTGATTGCTAGGCCCTGGAGATCTAACCCAGGGTCTCATGCTCGCTAAGCAAGAGCACTACCACTGAGCAGCACACTCAGCCTTGATCTCTTTCATTACAAAGGAAGGATAAAGCTTCCTTCCCCCTTGCAGGTGCCATCACTTACGGAGCTGAGTGGGAAAAGCCTGTGCGGTGGAGCTGACAGTACAATGGGGTCGGAAAGTGGGCTGATGCTGAGCACAAGCACATTTGTATTTCAGGACATGCGCAGCCCTGTCTAGACTACTGCAGTAATTTCCCAACTGGTTGGATCCCTTTTCATCCTTAATCGATGCTGCACTGCAGTGCCAGATTCATCGACTTAAAAGCATCATTTTTATCGTGCTCCCCTCTTAGCTGAAGGACTCACATAAGAAAACGTACTCTCATCCACTCTTCAGGGTCCACTGTGACCTTAACAGCACCGAATCTTGCCTCTGACTTAGCTGTCTTTTGCTATCCTTTCCCAACCTGCCCGTTCTCACAGCCTAGTCTTTGATCTTCAAGTAGTTCAGATAAAGCTTTCCAAGCTTTTTCCCTCCTCCATCTCAGAGGGTTCATCGTCTCTCTCTCCAAAGTTTCTTTAAGCTGGCATTCTAACCAGATATGTTGGCATATCTGTACCTCATACAGTGCATTTCTCTGTGCTCACATATATATACATACATACATATATATATATATATATTCAACTTCTCAATCAAAAGATACTATGACATGGATAGCTCTTTATTTATCTCTTATGTAAAAACTGAATCAAAGTTGTAAGTTCTCAGAAGGCAAGATGGTTTCAGCATAGACAAGGTAGGAAGTGGGCTCTTCATCAAAACATATCCCCCTTATTATTTTTTATTCTTTTTTTCAGGGTCAGAGTTGGGGCAGGATAACACTATTAATGCTCACCAAGTGGGGAGGAGAAATTGAAGGATTCATTTACAGAGGAAAACCAAGGTGCTGTTAAAAGCTACGCCTGCATTGCTGGTGTCTGGGTCAGCAGAGGACTTAGCATCTAGTGCGAGTTCAGAGTTTGTATGAACTAATGTATGCACAAGTGGATGAATGACTGGGTGGCTGAATGGAGATAAAGTTGAACTATAACAAAGTAGACAATGTCATGGCAGACAACCCAGCATTGTGTGGTGACATCTAAAAATTATATGAGATATGTACCATGCAAAGTGCTGGCTTTCTGTTTGTAGATTTTAAAATCTCCTTCACTGGGATGTAAAATCTCCTTCCCCCCCTCCTTGGCCTCTCACAGTGCCTTCATTTTCCTTGGCCTTCACTCTCTTCTACCTCAAAGACTGCTCATTGTGTGCAGACAGAGTTGCTACCCTTTCAGGAAACTGGCCTATTGCCAGGCTGCTGAGGTCACAACCAAGCTTGGTACTTATTAGCTCTGTGACCATGAACAAGTGGTTTAACTTTCCGATCTCTATTTACCTCGCCTGCAAAATGGAGTTGTTCCTAGTACCTTGTGAGGAGTTCATGACTTACCATAATGATTCAAAGCTCTCCTCTGCATCCGCCCTCACTCTCACACAGCGGATGTCAGTGCTGGCTGCTACTATAGAACCAGGGTGCTGGCACCTCATGGCCATAGGGCTGTGGACAAAGGTAAATCCCCAGAGAGTTGTTAACGTTCCTAATTATATTTGGATTTTCCATCCACACACAGCCTTAACCAGAGGACCTAAAATCTGGGTTACTGTGAACTGCACCTTCCTTAGCCTGCTACCAGGAGCTAAGCACACTGCTCCTCTCAGAGAGCTAGAGCAGGTAGCCCTCCAGTCTGTCAAGCTCCCTTCCACACCCTGAAAGCCCTTCACAAACTCTGATCCTGGAAGCTTTCTGTTTATTCCTCACTCCCCACTCCACCCCCACCCCCGCAATAGATGTTTCATGACTCTCCAGAAAGGAGCCATCTTTACAAGGTCCACTCTGGCGTGCTCTTTCCTCTGCCTGCAGTATTTAACACCTGCCTTTCCTTTGCAATTATGTCTGTCAAAGTGTATGCAGTGACCCTTTTGATATGTGGCTTTGCTTTCCGTATTTCCAGTTACCTGTGGTCAGAGCAGTCTGAAAATTATCAAATGGGAAATTCCAGAGATGATCTACTTTTTAAATTTTAAATTGCACAACATTCTAAATAGCACAAGGGAATCTCACGACATCCTGCTCTAACCTACCCAGGACATGAATCATCTTCCTGGCCCAATGTATACACACTGTATACACTACCCTCTTGATAGTCATTTAGTATCCATGAGTTATCCAACCAACTGTCAGAGTATCTCAGTGCGTATGATAAAATAAACTTTATTTTACTTAATAATTGCCTCAGCACACTAGAAAAATTATGCTGGCAACTTGAATATGCCAAGCTAAGCCTCTTTGGTGAAAAGATGAAAGTCCATCATAGATAGATACTGGGGGAAAGCAGTGTATACAGGGCTCAGGACTAAGAGTTCAGGCATTTTTGGGGTCTTGGTACAGAGCTTCATAGATAAAGAGGAGCTACTATGTGCTTACACAGAGTTAATAACACAAACTCTGGTGCTGCATCACACCTCATGTCAGAAAATGGGTTCTGTTCCTGAAGGCCGGGAAGGAGTGCTGAGAAGTGCCGTCTTCTGGACCTGGTGTGGCCATTGCACCCAGGAACTCACTGTAGCTTGGAGTTAGCCACACAAGACGGGCGGGGGGGGGGGGGGGGGACACAGAGGGAGTTAAAAGGGAGAAATAGAAGGGTTTGTATGATTGTATTTCATTGTATACACATAAGAAATTCTCAACAAAATAAAATACAAAGAGAGTCTTTTCAATGACTGCATTCTACTATATAAACATGCTACCGCTTATCTAACCCCCTACTGAAGAAGAAAAAGGTGGTTTCTGGGCCTCTGCATCTTTTACAACAGAAATATCACTGGGAGAAAACAGCCTGGCCAGTTCCACTTCTCTGTGACCAGGCCTGCCCAGTGGTCCAGCTCAGATACAGGTGAAATGGATTGTGCCAAGGGAAGAGTCCTGAGTGGAGGGCACTTCCTGTGGGGCACCTTAGCAAAGAATGGCAAGATCTTATTCCCTTCTTACAGACAACTTGCCTGGACCCTGTGGTCACTAATTCAGGAAGGACAGTTCTTTCCAGGGGTCTCCACACAGGTTAAATGGGCTTGACTACATAGATGGAAATACGGGAAGAATTTTACCCTGGAAATAAGGCTGAGTTTTCAGCAGCCAGGCCAATTTGTAAGAAAGCTGCTAAGAATTGTAATCTAAAAATCTCCCCTTCCCCGCTTCTCAGACTACAGCCCCGGAGCTTGTTCGGATGACATGGAGCCCCTGAAGAAGCCGACTCTTCTACCATCAGATTTTTCCTGGGTGTGGTCAGGGAGGGAGGTAATTCAGTGCTGTGACTTTAAGGGGCTGAACTGGCCTACCTGTGGCAGTCTTTACTGCAGCAAGCTCTGCAATGCAGCGCTCTGCTCTAGGGCTCTGGCTGAACCAAGGCTGTCCCAGCACCTCCCGTGAATCAGTACTCAGAAGCCGCACCCTCCCAACTGCAACCAGCCTACAGCTCCTGGCGGCCTCAGATTAATACATGGGGGAGAAAAGACACACACTCTGCTCTCTTTACACAAGGCTCTGTTTCAATAATTCATCAGAGGCAAAGTGTTTAATGGGGAACAAGCAATTCCTAAAGCTTGGGTCAAAAACGCTTTCAGACAGATCCAGTGTTGCAGAGCTACAGAAAATTCAAGAAAGCCCTTGAGGCTGGGGAGATGTTTCTGTTGGGGAAGTGCTTGTCCCAGGACAAGGTGTGAATTTGGATCCCTAAAATCCACATAAAAAAAGCTAGGAATGGTGCCATGCACCTGTGATCCAGCACTAGAGAGATAGAGATATGAGAGTCCCCGGGCATGCTAACCAGGCAGTCTAGCCCAATCTGGGAGTTCCAGGTTCTGTGAGAGACCCTGTCCTAAAAAACGAGGTAGGAGGGGACAAAGGAAGACACCCAGTGTTAACCTCTGGCCTGTACACACACACACACACACACACACACACACACACACTAAATTCATATGGCTTTGCTTTTTATTTTCCCATGTTGGGAACATTTTCTACTCTAATTGAGCTGTTTTGCCAAGATTGACTTAACCTTGTGTAGCAAAATCTTTACAAGTAGAGGCAACGTCACTCGCCTGAGATCAGGGGACACCGACCTTCAGAGGCAGGTTTTTCTGCTGTGTCACTGCTGGCTGCCATCCTCAAACAAGCTGGGTGCCCAGAGAGGGTCCACCCATCGACAGTACTCTGGCTTCCCTCTTCTTCCTCCTTGGGTTCTTTATATAAGATCTCCTCATGATTACATAAAGACACAGGGAACACAGAGCCAATTAAGTGTCTTTCCACGCCTCTTTCATCTTCCCACACCTTCCAGTTCTCCTAACAGAGATGAGAAACCCAATTAGGCCGTTTAAAATAGCAGGGCTGTGTGATAGCCCTGTGTAGGCTGTTAACGATTACTGTATCTTACAACCTGCAAGAAAAGGCTCAAATTGGAAACAAAGATATTAATATGCCCCCATCCCTGTTGGATCATCATTTAGCTTGTCAAGCCGACTCATCATGGTAGAGCTGAATGTTCCAGCCCCTTCTGGGATGCTTGTGCCTCCCCTGTCAGAGGGGAGTGAAACATCAGGCAGACAGGCAAGAGGTGAGAATCGCAGAGTTTGGCTTGTTTGAGCCTTTAACTGTAGGAGATTAAGTCTTACCATAGCCAATGACAGTGCCCACAGAATGGGAGCCAAACCATAAGGCAGCTTGACATGTCCGCATATAATGCACGGGATTTGGGCAAAATGTCCTGAATGTTTTTCCAGCTCAACTACTGTTTGGAGGCTTCTGCCACCTTGTGGTCAAATGACACCACTGCAGGGTCTCCACGAATTCAATCTCGGTGTTCAGAGACGTACTTAGTATCTTCCTCTACAGAGGCGCCTGATGGGTGGAATAAGTACGTTTAGGGTGCTTTCCCAAGTTTGATGTGGAAACATCTTTGACTTTTTCTGTCATCAGGAAGTTTTTACTGGGATTCTGTTGAGAAGTCTAACTCTTACAGGTTTGAGCACATAATGTAGAGACAGATGACGTCTTAGGTCCTTCTAAACTAGACCGACAAGAAAATGTTGGTGGATTCAGGAAGGCTTTCCCTAACATTACACCTTGAGATGAATATGCAAAATGAAGAAGCAAAGACACTTACCAGGCAAATGACATCATAGACACACAAGCTGTACAGCTGGTTAAAATAGCTATCTATTTTAACTCGGGGGCAACTTAGACCATGGTACACCTGGTGATATATAATTTTCCAGGGCCAACAATGGTTATTAGGACAAATGTGACAAACTACACATTCCTAATAAGTCAGTTAACTGTAGTACAGGTAACAAACAGCTAAAATGAAGTTCCTCCAGCCAGCTAACAGTGGCCTTAGAACAGTGGTTCTCAACCCGTGGGTCGTGACCCCTTTATGGGCGTTGCATATCAGATATTTACATTATGATTCATAATAGCAGCAAATTACAGTCATGAGGTAACAATAAAATAATTATGGTTGGGGGTCACTATGACATGAGGAATTGTATTAAAGAGCAGCTGCATTAGGAAGGTTGAGACCACTGCCTCAGAAGATGAGATTTTTACGTCTTGTGTCTCATGAATCATCAAGCTGACCTCCTTAAAGACTCTATCCCCTCCTCCCAAACTACCATGGATTTCTGGGGTGGGTGATGTCTGAGAGGAGGGGAGGGACTGCCATCTGAGTCTTCTGTGACCTTGACTCTGGGAAGATCATTTCAGCACACATTCTTCTGTATTTCAGGACCCTGATGAGAGAGTTGTTGTCTCTATTTTGCAAGGGAAAAGTAGGTTCTCAACGGGCTAAGGAGATATAAGCAGTTAACGGAGCTAGGGAGAGGGTTGGTGCAGGTGCGGTAAGTTGTGTGGAGGAGGTAGAAACGGCTATACAGTGGTCCACAGCCTCCGTTGACAGTACTTGTGCGATATGAGAAGTCCCCTGGCATGTATGTGCACAAAAGATACGGCATGGGGCTGGAAAGATGGCTCAGCCATTAAGAGCTCTGGCTACTCTTCTAGAGGATCAGGGTTCCACTCCCAGCACCCACATGGCAGCTCACCACTGCCTGCAACTACAGTTCCATGCGTCCAACATCCTCTTCTGGCTTCTGTGGGCACAAGGTACACAAATGGTGAACAGACATACACTCAAGCAAAAGGCCCATACACATAAAATAAACACAAAAAATAAAATTAATGGAACTACGCCGCAACTCATCTCCCCTAGGTACACTTAACAACAACTTCGCATGCTAATTGTTAGCCAGGGCCACTCCATTTTGTGAAGTTGCTCCATTAGCTTCCAGATTCTTGCTTCCCCTACCCTCGTAGCTGATTTTGCAGACTGGCACCTGACTAACAGATTCCTTCTCTCTCCCCCAAGCCATTCAGGAATCAAAGACAACACCAGGGCAACCACGTACTATGGACTACCTGGAAGGAGAAACTCCATTCTGCCATGTGTTCCTGACCCTCCTCAGAGGTTCCGACACTGCTGTCTGTCCATCTATGGTGTTAATAACTCTTCTCATAAATCTCTTCCCTAAAAAAAGACAGTCCTCCTCAGTGTCCACTTGACCCCTAAACCTGAGACTCTTCACCAACGGCTTGCACTTGGCTCCACTAGGAGAGGCAGGCGACTCCCACATGCTAGTTAATGGCTTGCTCAGCCCCTGGTTAGAGGTGACTCTAAAGCTCATTTAGGAATCATGAACCCACTAACTGTGAGTTACGAGGGGACTTTGAGACACTCTCACAATCACGGCAAGTAGGAGCACAGTGTTTCAAATATGCTGAGACCTAACAGGAGGTAAGTGTGGTCAGGTGGGCAGCCTGAGCCACCCAGCTTTCCCTACTCTTGGATACCATACTCACAGACAATATACTCTACTCTGGGGGATAAAAACAGACCCCCAGCCCTGGAGCTGGACAGGAAATCTGAGCTAGAGAAGGTTAAACTTGGAGTATGGTCCCATAAGTGCCCAGCCCTCCTTAGTGGCTGTCTCTGGGCAGGTGGGAGGGGAGATCGGCTTCTACTGCCAACTGAATGTCATCTTCAAATGCAGCTCAAGTCAATGACAATTGAAATCGATTTGCCCTGGGACAGGATGATACTGTGCAGGGCATGAGTCGGGTTATCTGAAGGATGCTACAGATAAGGACGGGCACTCTCCTGCTGACAGGAGAGCCAGTGCTTGCCAATTCTGCAGTGGAGACAGCAGGTCTTTGCCCTACCCCCACCCCAGGTTTGGAGGAAAGAAAGGGGCAGAAGCTTAAGGCCAACCTTCTAACTCAGAAGTCCCTTCCAGGTACTGTCCACATTTCCCCACTTCTTCCTGCCTCCCTGGGTCTTCCAGCCCAGTGGAAAATGCACAACAGCTTAGGTCACCAGCAGCTCCTCTGACTGACTGAGGAAGGCATACCCTTTCATCTCCTCTGCCTAGAGACCCCTTCTTCAAGCAGACTCCACCAGCAGGACCCTTTACTGAAGCTTGGCAGTTAGGGTGGAAATGGGCAAGACTGACTCATGCCCAGATTCTACATAGAGTAAAGGGGGCACAGCATTCTCCACTGCATGCTACTGCTGAGAGCGAGAGACTTTCGCCAATTGGCATGTGAGTATGGGAAACCAAAGGGAATGGGAACAGACTCTGAGATAAAAACAGAGGGAGAGCCATCCTCAGGGCAGCTGGAAAGAATTTTCCAAGGGACTCACCACCTTGAACTCACGCTACGGTGAAGGGATGCTTACAGTTATCGCCTAATCCCCAAGATCTCTCTGTCTCTATCTCCCTCCCTCTCTGGCAGTCTAGTGAAACCCATGACTCCATCTCAAGATAATGGTTTCAGTTCCATAAAATAATAGTAATCCAATTACAGTGAAAATAATTCTTAATAGTTGTTGGTTTAGAACGTAACTGTGATCTAATTATTTTATAAATTGTAAAATCATGTTCCAAATTAGCTAAAAAAAAAAAATCCCCTAAAGTGCCCTTTTGCAAGAATCCCTCCAGACCTCTTCCCCAGGTAGAGGGCTTAGCACGGTCTGGGGTGCATTACTGAAGTGTTTCTCTTTAATGAGTTACATACTGATAGGTAAAACTAAATGCAATAAAATACCTCAGTTTCTCGTTATCCATCACTCATGTTTTACCAATGGGGAAAATGAGATTCTGCCCCTCCTGAATCCATGAATGAGAACATTCAACATGCTTCAATCATTAAGGGATATGGCAAGGTTGCCCTGGATATATGCTTGGATTTTTTACCTAGGGCTTTCCGAGATCATCGGCTTTATCCTGAGCCCAGCTGTAAGATGATCTGAGTTTATTCTATGCTCAGTGTTGGGAAAGGTGATATGCCACAATGGAGGGCAGCTCACTTGTAGATTCTCTGCTCCTGTCTCACTCTGAGAGATGGTGTGGTACAGAGCATGCCAAAAAACACACAGATCTACCTGACTCTTTTGAAGCCATCCAGCCATTCAGTGGTTAGAGCAGGGTGATTGTGGGAGAAACACTTTCTATCAAAAGTTCAAACACAAGAAAATTCTAGTTATTATTTACTAAAGCAGAGGACATTCAAACTATACACTGAACTTAAAAAAAAAAAAAAAAGTGCATGCATGGTGGCTCTCGGGTGCCAGGCTTCCCGCAGGCACTTTGTGTTGTCAGATTCTGATCTCCATTGTCATTGTATGACTAGATTTTGCCATCCTTAGTTTCTAGGAGAAGTGAGGCTCAGAAGTCAGAAGACTGGGATAGGCAGGAGAAGCACACTCAAGTTTACCTAACTCCAGAGTTCACACACAGTCCTCACAGTGTCAGACAGACAAGGCCATGAACTGGAGCAAAGCAAGGGGATTGACAGGAGATATCTTTGAGAATGATGGAGTGTTTCTTGGGGAACTATGGTCTTAGAAACGTATGGCCATCGAAGCTACCCCAAGCCAGTGGATTTTGGATTTCTGTGTTGCAAATTTAAAGAACTAAGTTCACAGATCACAGAGGGTGAGTTTTAGAGAGACATTTATTATACATTCATGGATGGGAACTTAGAAGGGAGAAAGAAAGAACCTTGGCATTTGAGTGAGGCATGGAGGTCAGTCACGTATCTGAGTAACTGTGTGGCAAGAAGGAAGTGAAGGGAAGGCTTCAGAGAAAGAATAACGATGCCCAGAGTACCAAAAAAAATGTACACTTAGGGTCTGGCCAGCATCTGAATGAAAGAGACAGCAGAGAAGAACAAGGGAAAGTAAGGACTCAGAAAGGAAGGCTGACCCGGCAGAACTTCAT